GAGGTTGCAGTGAGCCGAGATCGTGCCACTGCACTCCAGCCTGGATGACAGAGCGAGTCTCCATCTCAAAAACAAACAAACAACAACAACAAAAAAAAAGAAATTCAAAATAAAATGACAAGTGACTAATTTCTGTCTATAAGTGCACTTAAAAATAATAGAATATGTTGAACAAAGAAGTCAGACACAAAAGAGTATGAAGCTGCCCCAACAAGGTTGACAGGAAGTACATGCTGGGTTCTGGACAGCAATATAATTATGATAAAGCATTAATCGGGCTTCACTTTGGTCCACTTCCTTGTTGCTAAAAGTCACACAGCATTAGATACTGATCATTTGCATCCCCATTGTTCCTATAGACAGGACCTCCAACATTAGAATCCCAGCAGGGATTATAGGAAGCTGAGGCAGGTGGATCATTTGAGATCAGGAGTTCAAGACCAGCCTAGCCAACATGGTGAAACCCCATCTCTATTAAAAATATAAAAATTAGCCAGGCAGTAATGGCACGCGCCTGTAATCCCAGCTACTCGGGAGGTTGAGGCAGGAGAATCGCTTGAGCCTGAGAGGTGGAGGTTGTGATAAGCCAAGATGAGGCCACTGCGGTCCGGAGTCTGGGCAAGAGAGTGAGATCCTGTCTCAAAAAACAAACAAACAAACAAACAAACAAACGGAATTGCTTAAGATGTTTTTCAGAAACAGATTCCAGGAACCAGTTTGAAGACCCCCAGAGAGGAACAGCATCAGTATGAGAATATAGCTTCTTCATCTCCCTGTCCCATGACTTCACCCTGGACTCTGACCTGTTAACCATCTTCACATTTTGGCCCAATCCAAAACCCTTAAAAACCCTGACCCTAAGTTCCTCAAGGAGATGGGTTTGAGGTTTCCTCCCATCTCTTCATTTGATGACTCTACGATTAAACCTCTTTCTCTGCTGCAACCCAATGGCTTGGTGTATTGACTTGCTGTGTGCATTGGGCAACAAACCTATTATGGTTACAATTACATGTAATGTAATTCCATTTAGAAGAAATTCCAGGACAGGCAGAAATCAGAACAGTGCCAACTTGGAGGAAGGTGGGAAAAGCAGTAGGTGCAGATCAACTGCAAACAGGTTATAGAGGACTTTAAGGGACAGTGGAAATATTCTGTATCTTTTTTTTTGAGATGGAGTCTTACTGTGTCATTCAGGCTGGGGTGCAGTGGCATGATCTTGGCTCACTGCAATATCTGCCTCCTGGACTCAAGTGGTCCTCCTGCCTCAGCCTCCCAAGTAGCTGGGACCACAGATGTGCACCACCATGCCTGGCTAATTTTTGTATTTTTGGTAGAGACAGGGTTTCACCATCTTGCCTGGCCTGGCCTTGAACTCCTGAGCTGAAGCAATCTGCCCACCTCAGCCTCCCAAAGTGTTGGGATTACAGGTGTAAGTCACTGCGCCTGGCCCTGTTCTGTATCTTCACTGGGGTGGTGGTAATATGGACACAAACATTTGTCAAAACTTATCCAATTGTATATTAAAAAATCTTTGCATATATTATATGCAAATTATATCTCAAACAAAGAATATTGGGGAAAATTTCATCAGAACCTCTGTCCCCCATCAATACTAGACTCAATGCTAACGAGGATGTGGTAAAATTGCTACTCTTACATAATGAAGGCAGAAAAATTTGGTAGCGTCAGAGGCATTTGAACCAGAGCAACTCCATCTTGACTAAGGGTTGGGTAAAATGAGAATGAGACCTGCTGGGCTGCATTCTCATGAGGTTAGGCATTCTTTTTAGTCTCGCTTTGTCGCCCAGGCTGGAGTGCAGTGGTGCGATCTCGACTCACTGCAAGCTCCGCCTCCCCGGTTCACACCATTCTCCTGCCAGGAGCTCGCCACCACGCCCGGCTAATTTTTTGTACGTTTAATAGAGACAAGGTTTCACTGTGTTAGCCAGGATGGTCTTGATCTCCCGACCTCACGATCCGCCGGCCCTGGCCTCTCAAAGTGTTGGGATTACAGGCGTGAGCCACCGCGCCTGGCTGAGGTTAGGCATTCTTAAATCACAGAATGAGATAGGAAGTTGGCACAAGATACAGGTCACAGAGATCCCAGTGATAAAACAGGATACAGTAAAGAAGCCAGCCAAAACCCGCCAAAACCAAGATGGCAATGAAAGTGACCTCTGGTCGTCCTCACGCCTCATTATATGCTAATTATAATGTATTAGCATGATAAAAGGCACTTCC